CCATCCTTATGTATATTTTAAATCATCTCTAGATTACTTATAATACCTAATGCAATGCAAATGCTGTATAAATAAATTATACTGTATTGTTTAGGGAATAATAATGAAAAATTTTGTACATATTCAGTACAGATGCTTCTTTTTCCCCTCATACAGAATTTGTGGATACAGAGGGTCAACTGTATGATTAATTTCCTAATATTTGGGCATTTTCTAAATTTCTTTTTATCTTTTGTTCTCCAATTTTATTTTATGCTCAGAGAACATGCTTTCTATGATCTTAACCCTTTTTAAATTTATTAAGACTTGGTTTACGGCCTAGCATATAGTCTGTTCTGGACAATGTTCAATGTGTGCTTCAAAAGAATATGTGTTCTGTAGCAGTCGGGTGGAGCATTTTATGTATGTCAGTTAGGCTGAGTGGATTGATAGTATTGTTCAGTTTCTATATCCTTGCAAATTTCCATTCTAGTTCTGTCAAGTAGTAGGCATGAGTATTGAAATCTAACATTATTGTTGGACTATTTCTTCTTTCAATTCTGTCACTTTTTGCTTTATGTATATTGAGACTGTCTTATTACGTATGCATATAGTTTGTAATTATTATAGCTTCCTGTTGTGACTCTTTTGTCATTGTGAAATGTCCCTCATTGTCTCTAAGAAGATCACCTGTGTTATAGTTTAATTGTGTGATATTAATGTAGCCACTCCTGTTCTCTTATGGTTACTGTTGTATACCATTCTCTGATTTTCAGTATATGTGTGTCTTTAAAACTAAGGTGTTTCTCTTACAGGCAAGTTAGTTGGATTCCACATTCTTATCAATGTGACAATCTTTGCTTTTGGTTGGGATTTAAGACCATTTGTATTTAATATAATTATTCCCATGGTTAGATTTACATTTGCCATTTTGTTGTTTTCTGTGTATCTTGTTTATTCCTCTTTTACTGCCTTTTCTTTCTGTTAAATAAATATTTTCCAACATACTATTTTAATTCCTCTTATTTCTTAACTAAAATTTTAGTTATTTTCTTAGTGGTTGCCCTAGGCTAGCAGTCCCCAACGTTTTTGGCAACAGGGACCAGTTTCACAAAGACAGTTTTTCCATGGACCGGGGTGAGAGGACATGGCTTCAGGATAATTCAATTCATTACATTTATTGTATACTTTATTTCTATTATTATTCATTGTAATATAAAATGATAGAATCTGGGGGGGATGGGAGACAGTGACACCCAAAGTGTGTTGCTTATGTCCAGTCCACTCCATAATCTCATTTTGGTTGCTGTCACTGCAGAAAGCCTTGTTTCATAAAGATAGGATGTTGGAAATGGAAGCAGACTTTTTGGCGCTGATCTGACAAGAAGTGGAACTCAGTTGGTAATGTGAGTGATGCGGAATGGCTGTAAATACAGATGAAACTTCATTTTGGTTGCTGTCACTGCAGAAAACCTGCTGGGGCAACGAGAAGATGTTGGAAATGGAGGCAGGCTTTTCAGTGCTGATCTGACGGGAAACGGAGCTCAGATGGTAATATAAGCGATGGGGAGCTGCTGTAAATACAGCTGAAGCTTTGCTTGCTCCCCACAGCTCACCTCCTGCTGTGTAGCCTGGTTCCTCACAGGCCACGGACCAGTACTGATCCGTGGCCTAGGGTTTGGGGACTCCTGTCCTAGGGGATACAATATGTGTCTTTCTAAAAAACATCACAATACGCTTTAGATTAATACTGACTTAATTTCAGTAAAATATACAAACTTGTCTCCTGCATAGCTCTATTCCTTTTCCTCATTTTATGCTCTTTTATATATATTGCATCTTTGTTATAAATCCAGCAATACAATGTGATAATTACAGCCTTATATTTTTTTAAGTTTAATTTCAATTTTATTTAATTAGTAAAAATTTATGTGTTTTAAAGAAGCTAAGGGAATAATTTGAAAAAACATATCTGTAGAGTCTTTTATGTTAACCTGCATATTACTGGAGATTTTTTATCTCTGTCTACAAATTCAAGTCACCATCTTTAGTAATTTCCTTTTAGCCTGAAGGACTTTCTTTAAAATCTCTTGTGATACAAGTCTAGTCTATGTTCTTTATGTATCTGGGTATGTCTTTGTTTTGTCTTTATTTCTGGATGATAGGTGAACTGCTCTGGCTCCATTGTGTCAGACAGTAAGTCAGCTATTAATTATATTAATTTCACACATGCAAACCATCATAGTGATGAGTTGTTTTTCACTTGGTACTTTCAAGATTTTCTTTTTGTCTTTCAGTAGCTTAATTCTGCTTTATGTAGGTGTTGATCTCTTTGTATTTATCCTACAAATAAAGACTTTGTTGAGGTTCATTGAGCTTCCAGAAGCATAAAGTTTCCTTGAGGTTCATTGAGCTTCCAGAAGCATAAAGTTTCCCTTCAAATTTGGGAAGTTTTCCACCGTTAATTTCTTCAATTTTTTCCCCTACTTCTGTCTCTCTTCTTTCTCTGGAACTCTTATTACAATTGTTTGATGTGCTTGAAGTTTTCTGAGGCTTGTTCATTTTACATTAATTTTTTTTTCTCTCTCTCTTTCTCTCTCTCTTTCTCTGTCTCCCCCCCCCCCCC